TTTAAGTTCTGATATCGTTTAAATAAGTTAAAATATTGAGCTTGCCGGTCAGAATAACAATAATGATCCTAGTATAATCGCACAAGTGAAGTATGGAGAGGGTGAGGTATACGCAGGTCTTACCCCTACCACTTGTGGATCGGACGAAGGTGGGGTGTAGGCGAGTCTTATCCTTATCTCTGATGGGTTTGGAGAGACTGGAGTATAGTACGCCTTACCCCTACATTAAGAAGGTACAGAGGCTGTTTCGATAGACTTTACCTCTACAAGTTCTGTTGGATGAGCAAAATTTTCGTGTCATAAGTCTTATTAGATTGTCATAACTTTAAGTACAAAATGTTCATAAATTCAGAAGGACCATCCCAAGTTCTGATGTACGGAAAAAATTTAAAGTGTTATAAATCTTGACGAGTTGTCATAAATTTAGTTTGTGACATTGATAAAAATTGTTCACCAGTACTGACAAATGGTCACAAGTTTTCAATAATGGGCAAAACTTGAAATCCGGAATCAAAATGTAATTCTTTTGAACTTAAAGGACAAAAATATATAGAAGAAAAAACATAGTGACCATAATATGTATAGCGTCTTTTTAAAAGACGCTATACCTTAACGGTCGTTTGGCCAGTTAAGTATAGCGTCTTTAAAAAGACGCTATATATATAGCATTTTTCACTAAGACACTATGTATTATGTAGGCCCACAAATAATTCTTCTGGCTTAACTAACATAACTATAATTCAACTGGGTATAGCGTCTTAAGCTAAGACGCTATACCTCAAATAATTCACCCCCCCGGATTGGTTTTTGCCTTATATGAGGACGTTAAGGATTTTGTAAAAATCCATTCAGAAATATCCTCAAGTCTTAGTGAAATTTTTCTTTGTTAAGTTGTTTGGCATTTTGTCATAATGTCTGAAGAGCGAAGAATTAAAGTTTCATTATATTTGGGGGGTGAGGTTGTGGTGGCGAATAACTCAGTAAGCTATAGTTTATCTCCACAGTCTCATGTTAAGTTGCCACTTACAATGGAGTACGATACATTGGTATCGTTGTTATGTAAAAAAATGAGTGTAAGAAAACGTTCGGTGAATCTTAAAATAATCGGAAGATATCCATATTCTGTGACTCCACAAGGAGTTGCTTGTTATACTGAGTTTAACATCGAAGACGATGAAACTCTGAGAGATTTTTTGAGGACTCCGGATGAATACCAGGAATTTATTGTGATAAAACTATTGGAAATGTACGTCAAGGCTGAAGATGTTCGCAATATTAAGGTTGCGAAAAGTAGGGAAATTCCTCAATCATCAGGTGGTTATTTTGGAGCAGTTTTAGCCTAACAAATTTCGACTGAAAAGAGTTTGGCCGAATCTAAACTTATCTCCACGGGTGAATGAGGAGCGAGGAAATAATTTCTCCGCAAGTATACATAATCCACAATCCAAGTGGTAAGCTTTAATTTCCTTTGTGTTATGATGTATATTTTTGTGTATGTATTTGTATTAACACTCATATATTCCACAGGGGGTATCGGCCAGATATGAATTTTACAAGTTATGAACCAACGGCCAGTTGTAATATGCCTAGTTTTGGTGTGTTGGATCATGGTGGGAGTCGACATCAACAAGATAATGTGCATCACGGGATATTAACACATTATGATTTGTAAGTGAATATATAAAGTTAAATGTATTGTTTGGACCAATTTGAGTAACTCATTATTTCTTTGGTTGTGCGGTGAAAACGAGCAACTTGATGGTCATGTCCTTACTCAATTGCCAGAAGACGACGTATTTAATCGGGATCTGGCAGATGCGCAGAGTCAGGAAGAGAATAGTGATTATGACAACAATGCCGATGAGTCTAGAGATGACACACCCTTCCCTGACGAGGGTGATGATGAGGAGGAAGAGAATGCCGAACCTGATTTGACGAGGGGGCATGCTCCACCTCCCGTTAGACCAAGAGTGTACGAGTCCCACAAGTCATTTCATTCAAGGCATATTCCCTACCTTGATCATTTGCCAAGTATGCCGGATATGGATGCCCTTACAAGGGATGTTGACGAAATTCGAAGAGCAATATGGGGTGAATCTAGACCAACGGTGTTGTCAAAGGGCATGCTTTTTCCTGATAAGGCAAGCCTAATTAGGGTGGTGAAAATGTACAACGTAAAAGAGTGTCGTGAGATGATGGTATGGGAGTCATCTTCGGATGTATATATGGTTGTTTGTCGTAGATGGTTTGCGGGTTGTAATTGGATGCTGCATGCAAGGAAGAAGAAAACAAATACGTGGGTTGTGGGTAAATACATTGGCACCCACAATTATGAAATGGACACATTCAGTGGGAATCACTTTAACTTGGATGTTCTTGATTCCACACATTGAAGCCTCCATAAGGTACAAGATCAAAGAGTGTATTACATCTGTCCACCAGGAATATGGGTGTACCATTATCAAAAGAAAGGCATTTCTCGGGTGCAAATGTGCATTTGAAATTGTTTAAGGTGACTGGTATAAGTCATTTGCATTTCTACCCAGGTACATGGCCGCACTGCAACACTTTAACCCCGGGACTATTGTTGAATGGAAGCTTGAGCGGAGTCCGAAAATACTAGAATATATATTCAGATATGTGTTCTGGGCATTCAAACCAGCAATTGATGGTTTTGTGCACTGCCGGCCGGTAATATCCATAGACGGAACTCATGTCTATGGAAAGTATGATATTAAGATGTTCATCGCTGTTGCAGTAGATGGTAATGGACAAATATTTCCCATAGTTTTTGCTATTTGTGCCAATGAAAGCCAAGAGACGTGGATATTATTTTTGAACCACTTGAAGGAGCACGTTGTCAAATAACGTTCAGGTATTTGTCTAATACATGATCGGCACGGCAGTATTTTAAGTTCTGTATAGCATTTGCCTGAATGACAAGAACTGTATGCATACCACCGTTACTGTGTGAGGCACTTGAATACCAATTTCCATAAGGCACATCCCAACAAGGACCTGCATGATTTAATGTGGATGGCTGCAGCTGATCACCAAGAGTGCAAATTCAGGAGCCGCATGGAATCGATAAGGCAGGAAGACGAAAGTGTCTACCATTGGTTGATGCGACATGAGCTTGACAAGTGGATATTGCATGCGGGTGGTGGTAGACGATGGAGAACCCTGACTACAAATTTTTCAGAGTCTTTCAACGGGTTATTGAAGTCTGCACGTGGATTGTCTGTCACTGCCATGGTGCGGATGTCATTCAAACAGATGGCGGAGAGGTTTGTTGAAAGGCACAGAGGTGCATCAGAATTGATGGAGAGGGGTATTGAATTTATGCCAATACCAATGAAAAGATTTGAGAAATATAGGAGGCGAGCACATTGGCATTCATTTTTATAGTATTGCAACGAGCAAAATATTTTTGAAGTTCGCACCGCTATTCATCAAAACCGAGAGAATAATACACACACCGTAAATGAAGCCAAAAGGTTGTGTTCTTGTGGGAAATGGTCTATCTAACACATGCCGTGCTCACGTGCCATGAAGTGCTTTAACATACAAGTTTCGCGGCAACCCGATATATTGCTAAGGAATATAGTGTTGCTGCATACTTAAATACATATAGTGGGCAGTTGCAGCCAGTGGGTGCTGAGCATTATTGGCAGCTGGAACAATTTAAAATGGTGTGTAACAAGGAGTATTTGTGTAAGCTACAAATGCAAAAAAGAACGCGTATACGGAACCAAAAGAATGTTGGTGATACCGTTTATGCACGTAAATGTGGCATATGCTCGCAAACAGGACACGACCATCGTAAATGTCCTTCAGGTGGTTCGGGTGGCGGTGGTAATCCAGCTCCTAGTGGAACTTCTTTTAATGTGCCTAACTTTCAAGGATACACGTAGTGTTTTGTTTCCGTAATATGGTTGTAATAAGTGTATGTACTTGTTTATCTTGCAGAATGTATGAAATAAAATTATGTTTCCATTGCTGTTGTATTCTTTTGAAATACATATGATTTGGTTCAGTTTAAGAAGCTTTCTTATACTCGAAATAATTATTATCACGCGAATCATAGCGCGGTTACATACCATGTTATTGTGGTGTCGACCTGAAAAGGCTGCCGTTCTAGAAAAGTTGACTTCTGGAAAAGCATTATTGTACCGTAAAGAATCATTAGCACGCGAAGCATAGCGTGGTTACATACCACGTTATGTGTATTGTCTTGTCGACCTGATAAAGTTGTCGGTCTTGAAGAACTGTATTATACCGTAAAGAATCATTAGCATGTGAAGCAGAGCGCGGTTCATACCACGTTATGTATTTTTTTTCTTGCCTATAAGTGACTAGCGCATTTTAGTTATTATATGCGCTTAACCAAAACAAATAGAAAATTTTTCCATAAATTTTTCATTTTTCTTGCATTAACAAATGCCTGGACGCAATGACGCACCAAGGTGCTATTGTAGCAAACGTGCGATTATGAAGGCATGTTGGTCCGATGGTAATGTTGGGCACAGATACTGGATGTGTCTATACAGGTTTGGAGGCAATGACGAAAATCATTGTATGTTTGAGGAATGGTATGATGAACCCATTAACCAGGAATACTACAAATCAGTTTTGCAGTATGTTTGGAATATGTACGCTGAATATCAACGCCAAATCTCTGAAATGCAACAACAAATTGCGGCACTGCAAGAGAAACTAAAAGAGGCGAAATAACAAAAAAATAAAATGGAAGAGAAATTTAAGTGGTTGGAGCAGAGGATAATGGACGGTAGTGACTAAACAAAAATATGTATGTGTTGAGTGTTGTATTTTATCTTTACATTTTTCATGTCATGTATTTTCATTAGGTGTATCGAATTTAAATTATGTTAAGTTGATGTGTTTGTTTTGCCTAGCTTTACTATTAAAATAACAAAGAAACCAAGAAATAAAAACATAATGCACATATAATGCTAAACCATAAATAAAGTTGCTATTATTTACTCATTGTCATATGTACATAAAATTAAAAAAAATCGATGTGTCCCACAACCTTTATGCTTTAAAGCAGCCACTGGCTTCATGCGCATCCCATCCCGCACGGCTACACTATCAGGATCATCCTCATCACGACGCCTCTTTATCAAAGGATGAGCTGCAACATGATCGTCAGTAAGGCTGGCAGGCTCGATTAAAGGGGCCATCGGTGCAGTAGTAACCTACAGAATAATGACATATTTTAGTATATGAAATATATATTAGTAATGTACGTGTTAGCTAAAAAATATTAAAATGTCTTACCATGGTCTCAGCGGGCTCCTGAATATAATCATCCGTCTCAGGCATGTCAGTGTCGCACCTAGTGGCCTCCGCGACGAGCGAGGATGATGGCTTCAAAAAAAATATATATGTTTTAGATAATTATGACTAATCAATGAGATAAACACAAAATATAAGTAATAGTAACACAAACTAACCAAATCTTGTGGAAGATCCTCAGCATCCCTCGGTGGTGAGCCACTAAGTCGGCCCCCACTATCCGCATCTCGTATCGGACGAGCATCAGCAACCGTCGATGCTTCTGGAGGGTCAGGAAAATACGCATCCCAGTCATGTGAGGTAAAGTTCGTGCTCGCGATCAGCAATGGAGCTGACGGGGTCACCTGCGAAGTCCCTGGAATAAGCCCCAGGCTAAATGACGGGATATCACTAGGATCAGGGTGGTCACCCGGCTGATCAACTCCAACATCCTCAACAGGTGCCTCAACGCCCCCTTGCTGGGGACCACCTCCTCGCCGACCCCCACGACCTCATGGGACACCCCTACCTCGTAGCACACCCCTACCACGTCGACCACTTTCAGGCTGCACTGCTGGCCCACGATGGTACTGCTCTGGCGCCATATAATCAGCCTTGTGTCCTAAGCGCTCATCATCCTGGGCTCACTGCAATTCTCGGGAAGCCAAATCTGTAACCTGTCGGCCCCACAAAGTGGCCACTCCCTCGGCGGTATGGTGCTGCATCTGCAGTCCCAACTGGTGGAACAGATGTAGGCCAATAACCTGCACAACATGTAAGATATTAATTGCGAAACAGTAATGTTAACGTTATAACTAAGTATACCAAATAACATACCGGTGCCTCATGCCTCTCGGCGTATGGAATGAACCGACCGCCAGAGTAATAAACGGGATTCCCGACGAAAAGTCGGGTAATATTGCGGTACTAGCCCATTTACGCATGCTCACCGTCCATAAGATCGGGTGGAGGGGGTGGCGGAATCAGGTCACGTCGCTGGTCCCAAGTCTCGATCTGCAACTTTAGCCATACCTCATATGCCTGTCAACCCTCGAACGATCATCCCGCTGGTAATGTGTCCTAACCCAAGCGGGTGGTTGAGGTACAAGCTACGGTCGACCAAACTGGCGAAGGACTCGCTCGGTGGCATGATGCTCAACAATATCGAGACACATCAACGGGGCGAAAGAGCTCCAGATAAGTCGCCCGGTCGAGCAATAATCAGGCAAACCAGCTATTAGCTCGTCGTTGTATGGCCTCCAAATGAATTATTACATAAAAACAGGAACCGCGAGTATACGCAACACATATAAATCCAGGCGAAGTAAACTTAAGTATAGAATTACCTGCGCGTCCTCCAGCAAATCCAACAAATCTTTGCAATAGGGGAGATTATGTCGAGCCTCGTACTCGCTTCCATATCCCCGCCTATCAACCCACCTCCAAGCCAAAGGGAAAACGGTAGAGGTGGTGGATCATGAGCTATGGGTGGTAGAGGTGGCTGAAACTGCAGGAACCGCTCCCAGGCTCAAACCTAATATACAATTTGGACGTAAATTTAAGGTATATTTTTATGATGTATGTTATAATAAAGAGAGTATTTGACTATGTTTTCACCTGCAGCAGCGGCATAAATCCTGCAACATCTCGCTGGGTGCCTATGCATGCCCGACACATCTGCCTGTACAAGTAACCAAGAACAGTAACACCCCAGCTGTACAGATGTAAATCATCCAGCTGCTCAAGATGACGAAGAAATATCAAGCTAACTAGGTTTCCCGAAGTGTTCGGGAACAATACGCCTCTAAACATAAGCAGCAGCAGCGACCTCGTGTACCGGTTAATATGAAGATCCGGTGTATCATGAGTAATGTCATCATGCATGGCCTCCAAATGCAGCCGGACGGGAGTCAACGCAAGACGACAAGCCCCAACCAATGCACCCTCATCCTCTGGCCGGAAACCGGTGAGCCGTTGCAACATCTCCAGGTACTGATCTCCCGTATAATCTCTCATGGCTTGCGGCAAAGCAACATGAAGTCCATCAACCGGCAGCCCATACAGAACCTCCACGTCCTGCAGCGTGATAGTGGCCTCACCAATGGGCAAATGGAATGTGTGCGTCTCTGGTCGCCACCGCTCTATCAAAGCCGTGATCAACGACCAATCCAGCTGCAGCCGGCCGATCTCAATGATCCTATAAAAACCTGTATCCTGCAAGCGTCTGACTATACGGGGATGGAGCTGGCAGTTCTTAAGAAAGTCCCACATATCGTCTACTCTCCTAGAACGTAAAGTCTGGGCCAATAATTTCCCTCCCATATGTAGGACGACCTATGCTCGGCCTGTAGCAATAGTAGCTCTAGGGAGGCAGGCCCGAGATGCAAAGGCAGAACCTCCATGACGACTACTGTAAATTGAACAAAATTAATTACATTATTTTTCTTTTCCATTGCTTAAATATATTGCAATACCTTGAATATTAAATTTTATTCAATTTCTTTACTATATTGTTAAATAGGTTGATACATTTTCAATATTATAATTTTATATTTTATATGTTACTTTAATATGTTAGTTTTATTATTTTATATGTTTGTTAGTTATTCACCTATTTTTTACTATACATGATTTAATTATTAAATATTCACATTTTGGTTCTGGACACAATATTTGAGGCACAGTAGCACCAATGTATCCTGAATTCTTATGTTCATGATAAGAAATTTTTTTCGATCTCAACAGGTCTGTTATTTTATATGTTAGTTTTATTATTTAATATGTTAGATTTATTATTTTATATATTTGTTTGTTTGTTTGTTACTGACTTACTTTTTACTATATTAAAATTAAATAATTAATTTTCATAACTATACAAGATTTAACTATTAAATATTCACATTTTGGTTCCAGGCACAATATTTGAGGCCCAATAGCACCAATGTATCCTGAATTCTTATGTTCTTACATTTGTTGACTATAATTAGAGATAGTTTATGTTTGAACTATCAGTTTTTTGACGTATTTTTGGGAATAAGAAATACTTAAATGATTAATTTCTATAACTACAAGGATACTACGCTAAAGGGCACTATGTTTTACTACGCCAAAAGGTCACTACAATACAAATACGAGCACTACATTAGGCCACAAGATACCACTACAGGGAACTAAAGTAACAATTTATCTAGTTTACTAGTCTTTTAGCAAAGAAATAATCTAAACCGGATAAAAACAACAAATCAATTTAATCACAAAACAATCACGAAAATACAAATACCACAGTAAAAAGTAACTAATTAATATTTTTTTTAACAACTAATAACAATTTCTCTATGTTACGATTTTTTAGCACACTAATACTATAGTCCGCATAAAAAATAACAAATTAGTTAAATCGCAAAACAATCACAAAATAACATAGAGCACATAAAAAACAACTAATATGCATTTTTCATACAAGTTTTAACAAAAACTAAGTCGGAATACCTCGATTTAAAGTTTTTAGAAAGTCGAAGATTTTGTGAATTGGAGCCGAAACAAGTAACAATGTAGATAACGCCTTAGCTAGCACGTTTGGACCGAGAATCTTTACTTTTTGTGGGACGGGTGGGCTCCACTCAAGTTTTTTTTTGATTAAAAATGGAGGGGGGACCGCTAGGATTTTAAAATCGGGGGGGGGGGGGGGGGGGGGGATGGTTCTGTTTTGGGGAAGGAAGAAGACGATCTATATTATATATATAGTGTCTTTTGTTAAGATGCTATACAAAGACGCTATAGTTTCCCGCTTTTTTAAATTCAAATATAGCTTCGTTTTAACAGACGCTATACTTAACTGGCCAAACGATCGTTAAGGTATTTTAAAACATGCTATTTTTATTATGGTCACTATATTTTTTTTCCACATATTTTTGTTCTTTGAGTCCAAAAGAACAACATTTTGGTTCCGGACTCGCAAAACTTGCCTTATCGCAAATCCTGACGAATCATCATATTTAATTTTAGTACAAATTGTATCGGAAAAAATTCAAAAATAGCCAGATTTACAAGCGGTCATTCAAAAATAGCCACAGTTTCAAAAGTAATCGAAATTTAGCCACTTTTCATGTAAAGATAAATCTGAACGAAAACACTGTTCAAAATCCGAAAAAAAATCCAGCATAATATACTGCTGTTCGAGCATAAGTTTACTGGAACTCCAACATATTATAATGGAGTTCCAGCATAAGTATACTGGAACTCCAGCATATTATAATGGAGTTCCAACATAAGTATACTGGAACTCCAGCATAATATACTAGAGTTCCAATATAATATACCAATCCAGCATAATATGCTGGAAGTTCATACACAGGTGCTCCAATCTCCAGTATATTATGCTGGAACTTTCCGCGTGTTGGAGTTCCAGCATAATATGCTGGAAGTTCATACACAGGTGCACCGATCTCCAGTATATTATGCTGGACTGGTCACTGTTGCAGCAAAATGATGGCTATTTTTCAATGACTTTGCAAATGCTGACTAATTTTGAATGACCAGTCCGAAAACTGGCCCATGCTCTTTTTACAATTGTATCATGACATTGTTGTACAAATTGTTCATGAAAACCTAACAGATTATCATGATTGTCTGTGTTTAAAAGTAAAAAGAATTCTTAAATTCTCACCCGTGAGAAGCATATGGTGATACAATAAGCTCTTCTTCTCTACCGCCATGAATGGATCCACATCACTTTTGGTTCAGCAAGTAGTTCTCAAGCTAAATTTTTCTCTTCTTTTTGTTTACATTTTTTTCAATGTGCTCTCATTCTTTTTCAAATTTTCCATATCGGTTCTCATTCTTTTATGCGTTTTCCTCTCAAATTACTTTGTAAGGAGGAGGAAGAAGGAGAAGTTTTGGCTACGGGTTCGTCGTATCCATTTGATATGGTCCTCTTATTCTTTCAAATTATCCTCTTATGAATTTTATCTACCTTCAAGCAATCTTTCTGGTACCAAATTGGTTGATCCCAAGGTCCCAACAACGCCATTGGAATTTTCATTTTCATTTGAAACAAATTTGTTCCTCATTCGTTCTTTTAGCTCAAACCAACTCTTGACATCGATGTTTTTCTTGGTATAAGTAGATTGCAGCAATATATTCCAACACGAACATTTCAAAAACAAAAGATCTTTTTTGTTGCATCTCACGTTTCTTTTGCCTTCCATATATACAGTCTAACCTCTCTATACAGTCTGATATAGAAGACATATTATACTAACATAACTTAATGATTGTTATATGGGGATGCTGTTATAGAGAGACCTTAACTGTAGTACCACTCTCGCGAACAAAACAATCTCTCTTCACTCTTACAACTGGATGTCCCTTATAGCACAATTCTCCCATTTCACATGCAGCAGCTTACTAAGTCGGAAGCAGCGGTACTGTTGTAAATTCGAGTATTATAGCACAGCACATTCAACATAACCTCAAAGTTAGGAGTTGAGCAAAAGGCGAGTAACCTATTAACTTAAAATTATCAACCAACTACATTTTCAAACCATTGCTACTTCCCTACATTGTACACTGCAGCAGTTGTCACGTAAGTGAATTGAATCTAACACCTCACATATCAAGTCAATAAGAAAAGGAAATCTTTTAGAAGGGGAAAAAATTGATGACTGAGCACTTCTCAGATGACTGTCATCTTTACCCTCTGTTTCCGTAAGATCACCTTCTGTCAACTTGAATACTTCCTGGTTCGAGGGTTGACAGTATCTGAGGCATTGACATGCCACCGGATACAACAATCTCTGCAAAGAGGAGAAAAGAGCATGTCGGAAAGTGCTTCAAGCATAAGCATATATCTTTGATAAGAAAATTGTGCTCATTGCCAGATGAGAACCCTCTATTAAGAACACACATGATACTTGCAAAAAAGCACGGGAGTAGCAAACAAAGCATCGTGTATAACTACTCGCTCCATCCCATTTTATGTGACACCAGTCGGAGTACGAGGGTCAAACGATTAATTTTCTGTGTGAATTCTGGTCATCAAATCCTCAAGTTTTTTTGAAATAAAATTCAGATAGTTAGAAACTATATAAAAAGTATTGTAAGTCACAGTAGTTAACAATTCAAAGTATTTATAAGGCATATGAAAAAAATACAGTAAAAAGAATGTCTTTGACCCTCCAAATAGTACTCCACTGTGTCACATAAAGTGGGACAAAGGGAGTATATTTTCCAGAGAATTTGACAATGAAAAGATCTCTTACCTATTCCTTCACGGACTGACAAGTTTGGTCTAATAACATCCTTTGCATTGACCAGGAATATATCACCTATGTAAAGATGATTTGTAGGAACATACACACAACATAGCTCTTCGTCTCCTGAATAGTTCTGGATTTGATGGTAAAACAGAGTATCACACAAGTGAATTTCAAGCAAACTTGATGAGAATTGAGAATGTACATTATCTTTCCATTATGATTCTAATGCTATCCATGCCTACCAGGTAATTGGGAACTTGTGAATGGTGTAAACAAAAGATACAAATTAATTCTTATTATTGAGAAATAAAAGAAAAGCAGGTAATCATTAGCATACCTGCAGGACAACAGACGAAGTAATGAACCCAAAGGCATATTCGCCGATGCGTGGGTGCCTTATAATGGCAACCTCCTTGAAAGCTTGTGTATTCTGATCTGCAGTGACACAGGAGGTTATGCATCTATCGTCACTCTCCAACTGAAAGCTGTTTCGAGAAAACAGTATGAAACTGAAAATCCACAAAGCATACCTGGAGATATGGCAGAACTAATTTGCTTTGAAGCATTATAGATATGCCGAACAAATGGCATTCTTTTGATGAACCACTCACCAAGATTCAAAACAGATGCCCCCAGCCACGATGACATGAACACCCCGACCAAAAAAATGAAAGTGATTGAAGTCATAAATCCAAGACCTGATCAGAACAGCCATTGAAAAGGTCATCTCCAAAGAAGAGTATCACAACTATTAGCAGCTAACATATCACGAGAAAAGATCCTTAACCTAACATGGCTGACATTTACATACGGTACCATAAAACTATTTGCTAATTCCTCTATAGAACTCTTTCTTCTTTAGCATAGCAATGCATTCTATGTCCAAAGAAAGATAAAAGCCATTACTTAAGACACCATGGAATGAGCCAGGGCCATTAACAACATAGAAATACAGTAAGTTGGAAGGGGCAAATGCTTACCAAAAATATCAATTCCAAGATGAGCATATATTGGAGAGAAAAAGCCATCCACGAAATGAATAAACCACCATGTTATGTAGAAAGTGACTGCTATAGGAAATAGGATAACACTGCAAAAGGATGTGTATAAGTAACAACTTGAAAAGTAAGGAGTAAAGCAGAGTCAGAGCGTCCACTTAATCACAGCTGACAGTGAGGACAAAGACGAATATTTATAACTTATAAGCAGATCATGTTACTCTCTTCCCATGACACTTACAAGCAGCAGAGTGGATTGTGGTTTAGTTCCTTCCTAATCAAGTTTATTTCAATAGCTTCCATCCCATGGATTCTTATTAGTAGAAGCTACTATGTACAGCATAATCCAAGAAAGAAGAATAAAACAACAATTATGCCTCAGTCCCAGATAAGTTGGGGTCGGCAATACGAATCCTCATTCCTTTCATTTAGCTCAACTCATATCAAATCCAAGAAAGAAGAATGCTCCTTTTTATTGTGATAGATACGATACATAAAGTATTTTTACTAAGTCTTTTCCATCATCATATTTACCAACAAAGGAGGGTGATACCGACACAAGTAAAACACAATTCTAGTTATGAATTCATTTTAACAGCTGATACAAGTCACAACAACTCTAATGCTTTTTAATGTTCCAAGATTGATTGTCTTAGTTCTGTTAGCAGAAAGCCATCTATTCAAATCAGTCATAACAGATGCTAGAAAGTGGGTAGTGTACTCATCAAGGACCTTGAAAAGTACAAACCCCTAAACTCTTATAACAGAAGCTAGAAGATAGGAAGTAGAATCCTGGATCAGTTCTTCTGTAGACCTTGATCTTTGCTCAACTAGTTCTTGTAAATCATTCTTGTGACACTTTGCTGCTTCTTCCTAAACTTTATTTTCCAACAGCAAGGAACCAGATAAACAGATACAGCCTATATCTAGATTAAAGGGAAGATTGAAGGGAACCATTTTTACCATCCAGTCATGAATTTCTTAGAGGCCCAGCTCCTAACAACTTTAGAGAAAGTCTGCAGTTGCAAAAAATATCTTTTGTCAGATGAATAAAAGAGAATTCATGCTTAAAATATGGAAATAGAAGGAACAACATGGTAATATTCCCAGTGATCAGTCCAGTCACTATACAATTAAGCTCAAGAAGTGAATAGCAAGCAAACTAGGGTATAACCTACAAGAATAGACTTTGGCGCAGTCATCAGATTTAGATTTGTGATGCAAGAGCATGTACTAGAGGCAGAGAGAAGAGGAGAAGGAATCAGATAAGAAGTCGAGAAGAAGAGAGAGATAAGAAAAGTAAATGTCAAACAGAGATGTAAGGAAAAGAGACCAGCAATAACCAAAAAGATTGCTCCCAACAGCACTAAAACAGTAATGCAGAGGTCAAAGACCCTATGATTCACCTTACATTTATGTGCAAAACAGCAGGTGTGTAATCAGTTAAACAACTAATCAAGTACGGTACATGTGATAAACTCTTCTGAGAAAGGGGGCTTATATCATTTTGATATAATACATTTTCCAGGAAAATTTTGACATTTGGTCATTTTAACATGTTAAGAAAAACATTATGCACACAAGTCATATCTTTTAAGGGCACTAGTATATTTTGTTTAGATAACCGAAGGGGCACCAGTATATTTTTTGCTATAATCATCTCTATTTCTACTCCATACCGATTACTTCCACCATTGTATAATCACTATTTTCATTTTTGTTCCTCATTGCTCATAAGGATCACCAAGCATCACTCCCACGCTCCACCTGCCACCATCTGGTGCTATTAGAAGCTACCAACTGTTTTACCCATCAAATATTATGTCAGATTAACCCTAAATTGATCGATCTAACACCCCTTCAAATGCAATCTAGCACAAAGACTGGCATAAATATCACCAGATATAAAGGAATGTAGCATGCCATAGATGTTATACCATGCAATGATGACAAATAGGAATGCCACATCCGTCACAACTCAAACGCATGAAAATCGAATTTCTCAAGTGTAGGACATCCGAATACATTATAATTTTTACATAAAACCTAAGTCCAACCTAAAATCACATGTAGATACACTCAAGAATCAACAAACATGTTATATAACAGCTAGTCGCATCCATCAAGTATACACACATAGGCAGTATAGAAAGAATAAAACACGATTGAGCACATGTCTAACACCTAATGAGATAAATATGCAAAGCTTTTAGAGACATTTCTGCTTCGTATTCATAAACATCAATGCACAGCAGCATATGGATGCGGACATGGAGAGCGCGTCCTTTAATCATTTAATATGCTACAAATGTATTACTTTGATATATTAATCTAGTTGTTCAACAATTTTTTACTAAGAGGAGAAACTAGCAAAACTTAAATCATTTAATTGCACTAAAAACTCTAAAAGAGAGACTAAAAGCAGATAAAAAGAAGTTCAATTAAATATGTATGACACCCAAAATACTCTCCTACCATAAAAGGTCAAACTTTAACACGGTTTCTCATTAACTAATTATGTCGAGTTCTTCTGAACTTCATGAATATTTTTCCTTTCATACCACAAAATAAAATTTTACTTGGCAGGAAACACTAAATAAATACATTCAAAATTAACAGCAAACCAGACTTCAACAAAAAGTTCCCGCAATCTTATGATCAATTTCCAAACATTAAGGGAAAATATTTTCTTCCATTTTTGTAATGTAAATTGAATAATTGTTCCATTTGCCTAAGCCTTCATCCGCACAGTTACCTGATAACCATAGGCAGATCCAGGCTGAACCCACCGACCATTTAAGTTACTATATTTGAAATTTAATATTTGTACATATATAGTAAATTTCGTAACACATATAAAGGGTTTGAGCGCCAAAGCTACTCAGTTCAGCCGAACCCATAACTCACACATTACATCCGCCCTTGCCCGGTACCTGTGCCAGTGGGAGTCAATAGGTACCAGGTGGAATAGTAGCAAGCTGGCCTGAACACCACTGATATAAAAAATAAAAATAATAAGTTTTCCCTTGGGGGAAAAAAATAACAAAAGAATGCAAAAGTAACAAAATAGCCCCTTCTTCAAGCATTCCTCTTTCCCTAACCTTGAGCTCTTAATAAGTAAACTGCCAACATGACAATAAATTATGTTCATACAAAAGTTATCCAATTCTTTCCTTCTATAAATACTTCAACAAAATCCATTCTTAAACGCAACTCTAAACTCCTAATTTACAAAATTAAAACACCAAAAATCACTAACACACTTAACAAAACCCTGATCCAACATACAAATCCAGTTAAGAGCTAATCGAAACACTAAAACCTTAGCGATATTCCCAATCAAAAACAAAATATTTGAATAAGAATAGTTTGGGAATTACGGAATTAACCTCGCGGCCGGAGTGATGGTGAGAAGAGGAAGAGGAAGGCCTATTGGCGGACTCATCGTCGACGGCGATAGCGGCGGCAGAGTGAGCCACCGGAATGAGAAGTTCACGATCTCTGCTTGAATTAGCCATTTTTATCCCCAATTTCTCATCTCCCATTTACTTATAATAAAAATTATTTTCTTTTTGCTATGAAATAATAGTGTACAGATTTTGTAAGTGTAACAGTTCTATAAATCTAATTTTTTTTTAAAAAGATATTTATATTGCTTGGTGATAGAGGAAATGTTTGGGTAGTGGGACAGAGGAGGAATTTAAGAAAAAAATGTTGTCTTACTCTTATTAAATTAGCTCTAGACTCCATAATTTAATGGACTATTCAATGTTGATGAGGTATTGGGTTTGGTTTGGGCTGGGCCAGGTTGGATTTTGTCATGTTGATGAGCTGTCATCAATCATATTTTGCCAACTCATACCATCTTTCTTTTTTAGTTTTGGTACTGAATTTAATTTCTATATATTGACAATATAAAAAATATATAGCCTAGAAAATAATATAAGTAACACAATTACTTGCAGCCATTGTTTATAACAACAACAACGACCCAGTAAGATCCCACAAGTAAGGCATACGGAGGGTAGTGTGTACGCAAACCTTACCTCTAACCCGATGGAGTAGAAAGACTGTTTCCGATAGATCCTTTATAACAAACCATGCTAATTTTTTAATTAAGTCATAAATTAAGGTGCGAATGTTTATTAATTAATGATTTAAGGCTAAGAGTATATGTAAAAATATGTATCATATATATTCTTTTCTATTAGTTTCCTATCCACTGTCCCGTATCAGCATTAGGCCTGAATAAATATGAATTTGCACCGGAAAGTCTCACATTGAGGGGTAAAGTGCTCCATAACAAAGACAATTTCATACATACGGCTCGAATCCGAGACCTCTAGTAAAGGATGAAGGAGTACTTACAATTCCATCACAACCCTTGTTGGTATGTATCATATATTTATATGCCAACTCCGATCTTTTTTAGAATTACTTAAACTCTAAATTTAACTCTTATATATAATAGTAAGATTAATAACCTGAAAATGAGGCAGCAAGTTAAAAAAATTACACGATTTGTGTATTTAACAGCTTTTTTGGATGGTTGTTACCCATCGTTTTATAATATATTGTATCATAGTAAATCATATTGTATTGTATCATTTTATGAATACAATATTTGGATACATTGTATAATTTGTTGTTGTTAAAAAATATTTTACTATTTGGTTTGACTGTATCGTACTATACTGTAACTGATAAGTTTATTAAAATACCATCAATTATTTAAATATTAAATTTATCTAAAATTACGCATAAAAATAATTTAAGAAAATCTCTTTCTAGTAATTTATCACCAAATATGTCTTAACTACCCTTAGAAAAAAACATAAAAACTATGATAAAGAAAGGAACGAGAATTGGCAGAACAAAGGAACAAAGAATTGGAGTTAAAGTAATTAGAATTGGAGTTAAAATCACACTAGGAGAAAAAACGAAACAAAAAGAAAGCAAAACCTTACCTTTTATGTTGGAGTTGGAAGCGATAGAAGTTATGTAAAAAAAGGGACTAATACAAAGTAGGTTATAGGTTGGAGATTTGGAGTTAAAATAAAAAAAGGTAAAAGATAAAACAAAATTATGGAGTAATAAGTTAGGGTATAACTGGAAAGAAAAATAGGAAACAATCCCACCACACCAAATCGGTTGTTTCAAAAAATGGGACTTTTTATTGTTCCGGGACAATGGATGTAACAATACAATACAACCAATTTTAATGAAACAACCAAAACAAATATTATTTGGGATAACAACGCAATACGATACAATAGGTAACAACCATCCAAACAAGGTGTAAGTAAAATCACCAAAAAAAAATTGTTCAAATGTACGATGTCCATCCCCGTCGCCGGTACCATTTCGATATGATTTGGAATCCCCACTTAGCCTTGAGCACCATAATCGCCGCTTCATCCATGGTGGAAGGGACATGTGCCAGTTCGTCTCCGGCAGGGCTGTTAAAGTCAGTCCATAATTTCCCTGGACGGGATAGTATCTCAGCCACAGTCGGAAACCCCTCATCTTCCGTCGCCTCCATTCCCTCTCCAAGAAGGGGTACATCATTTTTCGGCACCGGAGCTTCGACGAATCTGTCAATCTGGGAAAAAGCACCAGCCATTTATCTAGCTCGATCGGAATAAACAAGATTGATGAAGAAATAGAGAGGGTGGTCACGTCAAATTCTGACGAAAGCAGAAGTGTGAAATATGGAAGAAGGGGGAAGTTTGCAAAATTCCTCAGGTAAATCAAAAAGCGTAACAATCGAATGGTGGGTTCCCCCTATATATAGGAACACAAATGCCCAGAGCGGGAAACCCGAGAGCCGCCAAAAAGCTGAAAGGGCACAAGAAACGATGCGGTGGCTGGGAAACGTGCGTCATAATGACGTATAACGGGCATTCACGGTATCCTGAATCAACATGATGATCCATCTCCGAACGGACGTAACGGTCCGGTAAAGTCCTTAAAAAAATTACCTCACCACCTCGCCATAAGGACCCCGTCCTCGCACAATGATCAGATTTATCCTAATTCTTGAACACACAGGGTCCGCTCATTGAGCTCGCCCAAAAGACGACTCCAACGGGCATAGGGACTAACTGTATGGGTCAAAATCTGACCACTAGATGGTTATCATTAAAGGAGACGGTAAGAGGTCGACCCCGCCATGGTCGTGCCCACGAGGCGTAATGGTGAAGAGTACCACGGTTCCTTCCCGTCAAGCCGTTAGAAAGTTTACATTGCAGAACAAGTGTAATGTCTTGGCCAAGTAATGAAGGACTCAGTCATGAGAAAACACGCTAGTCAAAGACCGTTGGATAAAAGGGGAAATTGTTAGTATATATAGAGGAGCAGGAGACCATTACAAGGGGACCTCATCTGGCTATTACATTTAGAGTCATCGTTACGGAACCAACAAAGGGTGGATCTCTTAGCTATCAACAACTTTCTCTCTTCTCCTTCTATGCTCTTTCGATTAGGGTGTAAACTCGCCATAGATGTAAGCTTATCATTTCCACTTGATATATGATAATCATCTTAAGAAATATTAAATCAGTTTGCTCTTCCCCAAGTTTTGTACTCAATATGTTTTGATCTAGAGTTAATTATGTTTGGCTAAGATTTACCCTCTCTCTGTCTCTCTACTAATTGGTTTAACGATTTTTTGGTTAAACAATTTGGCGCCGTCTGTGGGGATTTCTTAGCCAAATTTTTTAGTTTCCTTTAGATCTGGAACCAGCGAAATATCACTACTAGGCTGTCACGGCCTCACCATCTCGACACAAACACCAACTCGAAAGAGCAGTAGGTAAGCCTTCGAGATGACCGTACCAATCTAGGTCAGGTTGCTACATAAAATAGAAGTTATAACCAATGTCTACGAAAAACCCACGTCTCACCTGTAACGATGGGTTTGGCACGACATATGCACATTTGAAATAGAATCGCGGTTGTCTGGCATGACCACAGCCTCGTTCGATGTACCTACCTTATACACTAACCCGCCATAGATCCTGCTGTGTGGTCTTCTGAAAGAGCGGGCACATCCTGCCCTATTTTCACATCCCCCACGCACCGGATGATCCATTTACGAAGTGTAACATGTTTCCCTTGTTTGTGCAAATCGGACGAGATCGAACCGGGACTCGGTTTCAACACTTCAGCGAGTGAGGTGAGCCCAACCCGTGAGAAGCCTTAACGTTGTTAACGACGAAGCCGTGCACGGCTGCCAAATTTAAAACCACCATTAGAGCACTTGGCGGAGCGAGTAACCTTACAACGGGCTCCTTCTTTCACCAGCTTGTTATGTCGAGGTAACAAACGATTTCATTTTTGTTTATCTTCACTCTTTTGTTGATTCAAAACAGGAACGCGAGCACTCGCATGGTTACGCGAGCGAAGGACCGACACCTCCAAAACACCCTTGGAAATGGTTCCGTAGCATACCGCCCCGCAAGTAATGACCGAGCAAAACCCTTCAAGCCGCAGCATATCACAAATAACGGAAGTGGTACGGTACAGAGCAACTATAAAAAAAAGAATAAAAAAATATTCTCCAATGAAAGCAAAATTGAGCGGACTGGGACTCACCCAGGAAACACATAGTATTCTCCAATGAAAGCAAAAGTGATCGGACTGGGACTCACCCGAGAAATGCAGAGTATTCTCCAATGAAAGCAAAATTGAGCGAACTGGGACTCACCAAGGGAACGCACAGTACCCTCCAAATGAAAGTGAAATTAAACAAACCAGAGCCTGCCTCGACGCACGCAGATAAAACACAACGACGAAGTAGTGTCCCACAACGGGAATACAATGGGTTACCATTTCGACCTAGCTCGAAATAACACCCCTACGGCCAACGGCCATCGCCAAAAGAAGGGTTCGACCTAGCTCGAACTTATAACGGGTTATCATTTCGACCTTGCTCGAAATAACACTCCTACGGCCAACGGCCATCGTCAAAAGAAGGGTTCGACCTAGCTCAAACTTACAAGGGGTTATCATTTAGACCTTGCTCGAAATAACACCCTTACGGCCAACGGCCATCGCCAAAAGAAGGGTTCGAACTAGCTCAAACTTACAACGAGTTATCATTTTGACCTTGCTCGAAATAATACTCCTACGGCCAACGGCCATCGCCAAAAGAAGGGTTCGACCTAGCTCGAACTTACAACGGGTTATCATTTCGACCTAGCTTGAAATAACACCCCTACGGCCAACGGCCATCGCCAAAAGAAGGGTTCGACCTAGCTTGAACTTACAATGGGTTATCATTTCGACCTTGCTCGAAATAGCACCCCTACGGCCAACGGCCATCGCCAAAAGAAGGGTTCGACCTACCTCGAACTTATAATGGGTTACCGTTTCGACCTCGCTCGAAACAACACCCCTACGACCAACGGCCATCGGCAAAGAAAGGTTCGACCTCGCTCGAACTTACGATAGGTCACAATTCGATCTTACCCGTATTGACACCTTTACGGCCACTGGCCATCATCGAATCAAGTAGGAAATGCGTCAACTCAGAATAACATCATTACAGCCGCCGGCTATCATTGAATAAAATAAAAAGTTTGACCTCGTTCGAACACAAGTCAGAAACTAACTTCACCCAAGATGGCAACCCCAAGTTCGACCTCGTCCGAACACAAGTCAGAAACTGACTTCGCCTAATACGGCAACCCCAAGTTCGACCTCGTGCGAACACAAGTC